TGTTATAATTTAATGATTTGTTATAAATATTTCAACTAAATTGTTTTTTTTTTTTGCACTGAGGAAGCAATTACTTCTTAATCTTCCTAATTCTCGATAATAAACAAGTTACAAAGCACGATTTTTTAAAAAAAATTAAAATAAATAATAAATTAAAATAATATAAATGAAAAGGTTTTAAAAAAAAATTTTCTCATCGAGACATTTTATATGTTTTGAAAAGTGTTTTTTGTACTTTCTTCAAATTATTTGTATGAACGGAAGATGAGTCAAATCAGGATTCGAAACTTTCGATTATAAAACATTTTACTTCAATAAAATAGTTTCAAAGAAGGATATATATATATATATATATATATATATATAATAATATATATATATAATACATACTCCAAGCTGACAACATGTTCGTTTGGAATAAGCTTTTTTATAATAAAATATATTATTAACTTCCCGTAGGGTAAGTTATTGTAATGGGCCAAAAATCGGAATTGAAAATTTTTACATTTCTCGACGTTTTGAAGGTTTCTGAACATTTTACTGGCATACCTCAGAAAGAATGGATGTGTGTGTGTGTGTGTGTATGTGTGTGTGTGTATGTATGTGTGGATACAAATTTCCAGTCACGTTTTAGGGCGCACGGATCAACCGATTTGAATGATTCAAAAAACATTCGATTCCTATTGATAGGGAGATGTGTTGATTAGTTTTTGGCAAAGGCAGGTCCAGCCGTTACAGAGATACGGTGCAAAGAGTGCAAAAAATAGAAATCGAGTTTTTGAGAGAACGGAATATCCGATTTGAACGATTCTAAAAACATTGAATTTGTAATGATTGGGAGAAGAGGTGATTCGTTTTTGGCAAAGGCAGGTCCAGCCGTTTCGGAGATACCGAGCTAAATGTGCAAAAATGGCAGTTTTTGAGTGAACTAAGCGTCCGATTTGAGTGATTCAAAAAACTTACTGCTTGTCTTAACAAAATAATTGATTTTGGAAAAAAAAATTTTTGTTTCAACTTTTTTTTTTAATTTTTTGTATATCGAAAATAATTCAGATTTTATTTTCAATTTTGACTATAGTTTTAATATACTTTAAACAAATAATTTCAACTTTGCAATTCAATTTATATAATTTTTATAAATATTAGACATCAATATTAATGATAATCTATTTGAGAACATTCAAAATTTCTCGAATATTTCGTTACGGTACGGGAAGTTCCAGCAATTTCCCTTAAGGCACGATGCCATACACTCCACTAGTTTATTATTTAATTTATTTACTATAAACTTATTTACATTTAGTTAATTTTAATTATTTTTAAATATAACTAGTTTGTTTGTTGCAAGTATTTTTTAAAAATTTAATAAGTATTTCAATAAGCTTTACAATACTTTTACAATATGATTATTTTATTTAACAAATTTTAGGTTATTTTATGATATTTTAACACATTTAAGTGACTTATATTATTGTAATTATTATTATTATTATTATTATTAATAATATTATCAATATCATTTTTATTATAATTGTTAAATATTTTTACAAAATTTTTTTTTTCTTTTACAAATTTTTAGGTATTTTGATGAAGGAAATATTTTGCTTCACAAGTTTTTAAATGTTTTTAAATTTGTTAAAATTTAAAAATGTTTGTAAAAATTTAAGTTTTTGGTTAACATATAAAAAAATTAAAATTTTGTTTCACAATTTTTAAGTGTTTTAAATTATAAGTTTTTAGTTAACTTATTTTTAAGTATTTTAATAATAACAGTCATATAAAAATTGTAATTAAAAAAAAAAAACAAACTGATTATATGATTATGATTATATGTCATCATTAGGGTATGCACAAATTGGAAAAATAAAAATTTGTGAAACACAGAGTATAGTTAAATTCAACTAAAACTTAACTTACATGAATATCCAAAACAGAATCCTTTATTTTTTATTAATTCTCACATTTTCAACACACAACAATATCCTTCGTCACCATCACATTTGTTTAACATTTATCACACCACCTCATAACACAAATATACATACACTACTAAGTTAATTAATAAACTATTAAATAAATTAAATATTAACTATTAAACAATATACAAATTTATCTATTAACAAATTCGTGTATATTTTATTTATTTGTTATATTTGATGACTGTACAACTTGAATGACTAAATGCAAGAGAGAGAGAAGTCGTTGTAAAGAAGGTTTTTGTACGATCTGTTACCTTTTAACACTAATACAAATATACAGTCAGTGATCTTGTCATACAGGAGAATTCACCCATACATACACTCGCACCAACATATGTATATAGATATATATACATATGTAGTGTTTGTGAACAGTAACGGTGCAGGTGTTTGCGAAACGGTACAAATTTATTCTGTAAAGGTAAAAGTTTGATTATTAGTATGATGGTTTGTAATTGGATATCTTCGCCTCCTGCCCTGTATGTTTCTGGTTGATACAGACAGAATTCTTTTGAATCTTGTACACTTTTCAAGGATTCTTAGGCAAATGATTTAACTGTGGAACTGCAGTTCTTTAATTCTGGAATAAAATAACAATGTCCTTAATAAATTGTTTTAGTTCTTCAATAAAAATTAAAACTAGTGGTGTGTATGGCATCGTGCCTTAAGGCAAATTGCTGGAACTTCCCGCACCATAACTAAACATTTCATAATAATAATTTCAAATAGATTATATATTATAAATACATACTGTAAACTTATAAGAGCTTTTTAAATTGAGGGACGAGCGTATTTTATGAACAACTTATGTGTACGCTTACAAGAGTCTATTTTTTAAGTTTAAATTTGACTTTTTTGATACTTTAGAATTTTTTTGATAATTTAGAAAATTTTTCAAAATTTTGAAATTTTTTTAGAAGCTTGAATTTTCGAAATATTCTCATTTTTTTGTAAAAAAAAAACAATTTTTTTTTAAATTTTTCAAAATTTCATTTTTTTTTTTGAAAATGATGAAAAATTTCGAAAATTTGAATTTTTTGAAACTTTGAATTTTTTTGAAAATATTGATTTTTTTATGAAAATTTTCAAAATTACTAAATGCATTTTTGCTCACCGTCTACTCAAGCAAAATGTTTTTTGAATTAATCTAATCGGTTGATTCGTTCTCTCAAAAACTGCATAACCGCTTTTACACCCTTTGCGCTCCATATCGCCGCCGAAACGGCAGAATTGCCTTTTGCAAAAACGCCTTGCGATCGATTACGAACCGAATTATTTATCAATTTTATAAATCGGTTATCCAAACTGTCCAAAAAAGTCGAACTGACACTTTTTTAATTTATTTTTATTGAGAGTCCATAACCGCTGGACCTGCCTTCCCAAAAATTGTATCAGTTGTTCATTTTGTCAATATAAGTAAAATGTTTTTTAAATTATTAAAATCGGACGCTCCTAAAAACTCTTTAAAACTGAGTTACGGTATCTGGCACTTTTTGCCTCGTATCTTCGAAACGGCTAGACCTGCCTTCGCCAAAAACTAGTCAGCACGTCTCCCTATCAATACGAATCGAATGTTTTTTGAATTATTCAAATCGGTTGATCGGTGTTCCCGAAATCGTCGACGAAAATTTGTATCCGCACACATCCATTTTTTCTTAGGTTTACCAAAATATTCAGAAACCTTTGAAACGTAAAGATATATAAAAAAATTTATTTTCGATTTTTTTGCGATTACTATAACATGCCCTACGGGAAGTTAAAAATAGTACAACAAATTTATGATTGTTACTAAATAAGTGTTTAAGAGTGAAAATTTTAAATTGTAAGTATTTATAAAATAAAAATAAAAGTTCTAGTGCCCATTAGACTTATCTTCAGGTCATTCACACAAATAAAACTAGTGGTGTATGGGATCGTGCCTTAAGGCAAATTGCTGGAACTTCCCGTACAGTAATGAAATATTTGAGAAATTTTAAACGTTTTCAAATAGATTTTTATAAATATTGTAACATTGTCTAATATTTATAAGAATTATATAAACTGAATTGCGAAGACAAAAATATTATAAGTGAGCTTTAGAACTTCAGCCAGAAACAAAATTAACTAGTGTTAAAAATTTACATAAACCAAAATTTAGCGTAAGAATAAAACTAAACCAGTGGTGTGTATGGCATTGTGCCTTAAGGCAAATTGCTGGAACTTTCCGTACCGTAACGAAATGTTCGACGAATATTAAATGTTTTAAACGAATATTAAAACGATGCCATGCACAATTAGTTTGAATTCGGGACCGCACCTTGGCCATCTGAAGAAAAACGCCTAATTGAGCATATTCACATATGTATATGTAGTAGAAAAGTATGTAGGTGTCTCACAGGTAGAATACAAATACATATAAATATGTATACATACATGTATATATATATATATATATATATATATATATATATATATATATATATATATATATATATATATATATATTGTTGTGTCGATTGTATACATATGAGCCAGGTGCAATTTTCAAGCAATTATTTTGCTACCCTATTTTATTTTAACCAGAACACCTGTTGAAATAGTAGGTTGATACCGGGCAAATATATACAGGATGTTTTATTGAAAGAGATTAAATAGTTGTAATATATTTGTTAACGCATGTTAATTTTGGTATATAAAATGTGTATCTAATAAATCTTATAGTCAGCTATATATTTTACGGCGGTGCTATTCCCGGTGAACTATTTTATATTATTATTATTATTACTATATTATTTAGCACCATGAAAACGTAATTCATTAGTTCAAAATAAGAACTTATGAATTGCAATTATAATCCAGGTACAATCATCAATATTAACAATATATTACTGTTTATTATTTGAATTATAGTTATATTTCATCACACCTCATATACATCGGCAGCACCGTAGCTCGCGTTGACAGTACCGGCCCGCCATTTTGAATCTTGACAGTTTTCACTTCTGATGTGTTTTTGACGTTTGTGCAAATAAGTTGCCCCACAAAGGAATAGTTTTGCATCACATTTACGTCCGAGAACATCAGTGGAAAGTTTCCTAAAGAAAAAAAAACAGACTTAGCTTAATTAGCACATCACAGAACGACAAACAAATCTAGAATAATAATTATATATTAATATTTAAAAGTGGTTTTTAATTAACTAAGAGTTTTGTTGTGAAGTGTCAAATTATTAAGGTAAGTGTGTAATGGATTGTAATTAGAATTGTAAGTGAGAGTTTTGGGATGACTTTTTTTTAATTTTGGGTTTGTTTTTGGGAGTTGAGTTTTGTTTTAGAGTTTATATTTAATGTCGAGACGTTTATTAGTATTTGGTACAAGGTTAAATTCGGATCCCACATTAAATAAAACCTTGGACGTTTAAATATAGCGAAATATTGTTGTGTATATATTATATATTGTTGCACAACTTTAACTTTCTTATAATGTGTTGCCGGAAAAATTATTGATATATTATTTATTCATGCAAAATTTTGTAAAAATATATATCTTATTTGTTATTAGACGCTCCTGAAATTATTTTTTGAAAAAAATATATATTAATACACGTGGTTTTTTTTAATACATCTGTTTTCTTAAAATTCTCGGTAGGAAATACATTATATTATATATTCACTACATTAAAAACGTGTATCAAAATCTATATACAAATATACTTATAAACTAGTGGGGTGTATGGCATCGTGCCTTAAGGCAAATTGCTGGAACTTCCCGTACCGTAACGAAATGTTCGAGGAATACTGAATGTTTTCAAATAGATTATTATAAATATTGTAACATTGTCTAATATTTAGATTTATATAAACCGAATTGCAAAGTTAAAATTATTTGTTTAAAGTATATTAGAACTATAGTCAGAATTAAAAATAAAATCTGAATTATTTTCTATATACAAAAAAACTAAAAAAAAAATGATACATTTTTTTCCAAAATCAATTATTTTGTTAAAACAAGCTGAAAGTTCTTTGAATCATTTGAATTGGACGCTTAGTTCTCTCAAAAACTGCCATTTTTTGCACAATTAGCTTTGTATCTCCGAAACGTCTGGACCTGCCTTTGCCTGAAACTAATAAACACTTCTCCCCATCATTACTAATTGAATGTTTTTTTAGATCATTCAAATCGGAAGCTCCGTTCTCTCAAAAATTCGATTTCTATTTTCTGCACTCTTTGCTCCCTATCTCCGTAACGGCTGGACCTGCCTTTGCCAAAAACTAATCAGCTCTTCTCCCTATCAATAGAAATCGAATGTTTTTTGAACCATTCAAATTGGTTGATCCGTGCGCCCGAAAACGTGACTGTAAATTTGTATCCATACATACATACACACACACACACATACATTTTTTCTGAGGTATGCCAAAACGTTCAGAAACCTTCAAAACGTCGAGAAATGTAAAAATTATCAATTCCGATTTTCGGACCATTACAATAACTTACCCTACGGAAAATTAAAAAATAAATTAAATTTTTGGTACGGGAAGTGCCAGCAATTTGCCTTAGGGCACGATGCCATACACCACTAGTTATTTCGACTATTTGGCTGCAAATAAACTTTATATAAATATATTAAATATATTTCTTGAGAGTTTTTTTCGAGACGTTAAATATATATATATAATATATATATATATATATATATAACATATATATATATTATATATATATAAAAATAAGTCGGGTTTTCCTTCCTGACGAAATAACTCCAGAACGCACGAACCGATTTCGACAATTTTGCATTCGTTGGAAAGGTCTCGGGCTGCGCAAGGTTTATAGCTAAGAAAATTAATCGTGCCCTAATGCAAATTGCTGGAACTTCACGCACCGTAATTGAAGATTCGAGTAATGACATTAGTGAGAATTATCAGAATTATGCTTGGTTAGGTCAACGAGCAATTCTTGCCGCAAAGAATAATTATGTACACGCACTGAATTTCACCATTCAATCAAAAATTGCTGGCGATTTGGTGACATGCCAATGATTCCGACTGGTCTTCCGTTTGTCTTCAAACGATTGCAATTTCCAGTTCGCCTCGCGTTCGCAATAACAAGTCGCAAGGCCAATCGCTTAGTGTTTGCGGGATAAATTTCAAATAGATTATTTAGAATATCATTGTTTTTCACATGGGCAGTTATACGAGTTGGAAAACCATCCGCTTTGTTTGTGTTAACGTCAGACCAAAAAACAAAAAATGTGGTTTACCAAGAGCACTTCAATGAAAACGGATAATTTGTGTATTCACTTTCATTTACATGAGAAGTTCAACTAGAAAACACTTCATTTTTGTAATCGAAATAAATTTATTACTGTTGTATAAATAAAAATCAAATTTTTTCCATTTCAAATATAAAACAAACAAAAAATTTCTTCATCTTTCTCACGAACCATCTGGTGCAAAACGGAGTTCGTCGGGTTTGCATATATATATTATATATATATATATATATATATATATATATATATATATTTAATTAACATTTACAGACGTTTCGAGATAACGATCTGTCTCATCATCAGTGCAGGCATTTAAATTAAAAAAAAATTAAAAAAGTCTGTAAACTAATTAAAATAATTTAATGATTTTTTTTTCTTTGCAATTTTTGAGTTTACCGACTATATTGTTACTGTTAAACAATATTGTATAGTATTTAATTCCGAACATTACTGACACATACAAGTGTGCATTACTGATTAACAAATGATAATAATATTTCAACAATAACAAAAAATTGCGCAATGCGAAAATCATACGATTGTAAATGATTCACATTCGTATATTACATTCAACAAAAATTTATTGTCACTCTTTTCAAACAATTTGTTTAGAAAAATGAATATGAAAAATGTGAATTATGCATTGTCATAATAAAATACATATGAAAAAAACTAGTTGTATTTAGCCTTAAAGCAAGTTGCCTGATTTTCACGAAATGTGTAATAATTGACTTAAATAACCGAAATTGATATTTAGGTATTTAGATAAAATTTTTATTGACATATATTATGTACGTAGCCCTAGATATTACTTAAT